TGCTGCAGCAAGGATGAACCTTGAAAACATCACGCTAAGTGAAAACAGTCAGACACAGAAGACCACGTAGATTCCATTTATGTGAAATGTCCAGAAAAAGCAAATCTATAGAGACAGAAAGGAGATTAGTGGTTGCCAGGGGCTGGGAGTAACAGGGCTTGGAGAGAATGGGGAGTGACTGCTAGTGGTACCGGGTTTCTTTTTTGGGTTATGTTCTAAAATTAGATTGTGGTGATGGTTGTACAGTTGAGTGGCTGTACTAAAAACCATTGCAGTGTACCCTCTGAATAGGTGAATTGCATAGTATATGAATAGTATCTCAATAAAACTTTTAAAAAGTACGGTCCTTTGACCGTTTTAATAGAGGTAATAATTGTCCTTTGGATATAGCTGGTATTGTCTACACTAAAGCACTTTCAGAGATGGATTGTATGATAACTTGCAAATTCAGGCCATTGTCTTGGGGCATGTTCCTGGCTCCCTCATCAACCAACCAGGATCACAGCCCTGCCACCTGACCACGTGGTGTTTCCAGTGGCTCATCCCGAGGGTATGAAAGCCCAGGGGGTGCCGGACATTTTGCCAGGTGCTTCTACCTGCACTTTGTTACGTTAACTTACGTTAACTTCTAGCAGCCCTGCATGGTGGCAGTTTCCTGCCTGTGTCTTGTAGGTGAAGAAATGGAGGTCCCAGGGAATAACCCCCAAAGCAAGGGAGTACTGCAGAAAGACCCAGCATGTGGGACTCTCCTGGCGACCCGAACCCCAAGCCCAGCCTCTTTTCATTGCCGGTGTATAGCCGGGTTGCTGAGCTGTCGCTCTGCAGGGACAGATAGCTTAGGGAGGTCACCAGAGAAAAGGCCTGTGTGTTCTGTGCGAGATGTTTTCAGGCTTGTGTCCTCAGTGGGGACTCTGTGCTCCCTCCGGAAGTGACTGTGACATTCTGCCCTGTTCCTCGGAGCAGCTCTTCCCATGAGAGCTTCTGTGGAAAGAGAACTGTGGGAAAACATGTGGAGGCTTTTCGTGGACACGTTTCTGAGTGTCATCAGCTCTCGGAGGAAACATATTTATTTCTCTGATGTGCCCAGCTGTGTCTGGGTCCAGAGTTTTCAGGGGTTCATAACTCCAGGAACTGGTTTTGGATGTGGAGGGAAGCCGCAGTCGTGCAGCCAGGGAACCTGATAGTTTTGGTATGTGACGATGCTGTTGTGTAGAAAACAGCCCCCTCCTGGTAAAATGGGCCAGGAGTGAATGGGGGCGGAGGGCAAAGTCAGTGGGAAAAGATTTGCACTCAGTCAGTGATGCTCAAACCGGTCCAAGGCAGACGCAGCCGCTCCTGGGTTGCTTATTAGAAGTGCAGAGTATCAGATCAGAACCTCTGACGTGAGGTCCAGGACCCTGTGTTTTAATGAGGAATCGAGATCATTCTTGTGCACCCTGAAGTCTGAGAAGTGTAGCACCAGATGATCTGGGATTTGGGGTCATGGGTCCTGCATCCAGTCTAAGGTGGTCCTTGTCCCTTCTCCGTGACCCCCCTCACCTTGTCCAAGGGCGAGTGCAGGCGGAGCAACATTGGGTGGCTTGTGCAAGCCACTCGGAAGGGATGTCCTACATGTCGTATTCTCAGATTCCACAGGCTACAGAGGAGGGAAGAAAATCTTATGGAGGAAATGACCTTTGGCAAGATAAATTTTCTTCTTATAAAAATCAGAAAAAAGGAGAACTTTTACCGCCAGATATTACCATGTATCAAAAAGCTGCTATATTTAGTACAGAGATAAATGGAGCAGAATAACCCAGAACAAAACCTGGTATTGCCTCTCTGTAAGATGTGTACAAATTTAAAAATGTTATTAGGTATTTTATCTAATAATAATATTATTGTTTTTTTAAAGTCACCATGAATCAAAAAGGGGAAAGGATCATTTAATAACTATGAGCATGTGGGTCTTACGATCAGCAGTGCTTGTTCTTCTTCTGAGAAGGGATTTGTTTTGTTAATCCCAGAGGAAACATATGTTGAACTTAGGCTTCCTTGTTTACGTTGGCTGGAGAGTCTAACTCTAAATTTAGCCAATGTATAAGACTAAATGTTATTTATCTGTACACACACACACATGCACACATGCATATATACATTTTACACACACACACATAAACACAGGCACACGTAACATACATGCCTCGTTCCTGATTCCATTTTATGTTTCTTCTACTTCATCTTTTATTCCTATTTCTGGTTTATCAAATGTTCTTGTATCTTATGTATCTTTATAAACACCTTAAAACACTTCGAGGGGAAGAACGTGGACAATAAATAAAGAAATAGAATAAAATATAATACATAGAAAAAAAGACTAAGAGACAATACACCCGAATTTGAATAGGTTGATTGGGAGGAGCACGGTGGTAGTTGGATTATTAATTTTCCCTAAAATTTTCTACATTTTTAAAATTTTCTACTGAAAACAAAACTGTATCATCAGAAAAATCCATATTTTCATTCATACCCCATGCTGGCCCGTAAGAGGAATGCATTTCCTCCTGGCAGACAGACGTGAGTGAGGGTCTCACAGGGCAGTGTTAGGCAGAGGGACCTCCAGGCTCTGCAGCAGGAATAGCGGGTCTGTTCCCGGGAGAGCATCTCCTCGCCTGCTTTGCCTGGTCTCTCGCAGGGAGTGTGAGAGCTGGCAGGGGGCATTCCTTCACTGTTTACAGCACTCCTGAACTCTCTCTAGATCTAGGCATTCAGTCCTTGCTCTGGGGCAGTTTACATCAGTGAAACTCGCACAGAAACTATTACAGTGATGCAACCCTGGGATGGTGACATGTCAGCTGGACGAGGAGATGAGGAGAAGATGGCCGTGTCCGAGTCAAGAGCGAGGGGGGTGGATTTCCAGAGGGAGGGAGCTGCTTGTGCAAAGGCCTGCAGGTGCCCAGGAGTTGGGCAGGTTAAAGTGAACACCGGCCGGGGTGGCAGCTGGTGGTGAGAGAGTAGGGTGGAGAGACCAGGCAGGACTAGATCTGGCTGGACCACGGGAAGGAGTTTCAGTTTTGCTCTGAAGACAGCGCACAGCACTGCAGGATTTAATCGGGGGAACCGCGGCATCTGATTCATCTGATGTAAGGTTTAAGAAGATCCTTCTAGCTGTTAGGAAGGCTGGTTTGGAAGCGGACGAGATGAAGCCAGGGGAATGGCTAGGGAGATTGTGTCCAACCTGATTGCTATAAAGTGATGTTTTTGTGGTTTTCTTTCGAGGCGGGGGCGGGGGGAGAGCGGACACACCATTTAAGAAGAAAAACTGGAATTGTTTTGTCAAGATTTCTAAGTTAGCATTTTGTCAATGGAACAGGTTTGCATTGAAAGTGTACATCATCTCTGCTTTCATTAGACTACATTATCTATATTATAGATACCAGGTATGTATGTGCTCATTTGATTATATATAATAATACTTACAAAAAAGTAAATTTTTAATTTTTTTTATAGAGATGAGGTCTTGCTATGTTGCCCGACCTAGATTTGAACTGCTGGGCTCAATCAATCCTCCTGTCTCAGCTTCCTGAGTAGCTAGGACTATAGGCATGTGCCACCACACCTGGCTTACAAAAAATAAGTTTTTTCAAAAGAGAATTCAGCATAGATGGCCAGATTTCTGACATATACAAAGCCAGGCTCAGTTGATCACAATTTAGCAGCATCTGCAAGATTTGATCCATTTCAGAAATCTGAGCTCACTAGCATTGCCTGGGCTGGCATTTTCTTAGCTCAGAACTGCTTACCTGGGTGCAGAAAATCTAATATTTTATTTAGGAAGAATGATTCATTGCTTTAGGTGTCAAGAGTCCTGGGTTTTACATTTATTGTTGTACAAGTTTGATTTGACCTTGGACAAATCAGTTTGTATTTTAGTGCTTCTATGCAGAAGATCGGTAATAATAGTTCTAGCAATCTTCCTGTCATCATGCTAACTAGGTGAGAGCTCTCTAAGACCTGGGAGAGATGACAGCAGGTGCAAAGGCCCTGTGGTGGCAGGGAGCAGGCTGATATTGTAGGAACTGAGAGATGGCCTGTGTAGCTGGAGAGCAGAGTGCAAGGGAGAGAGATGGTCCAGGGTCACATTGTAGAGGTAAGCCAGGGCCATGCTGGGCAGGATCTTGCAAACCTTTTGAGGGACTTTAATTTGTATCTGAAGAGCAAGGGGAAGCCATTGGATGATTTAAATAGAGGAGTACCATAAAGTTGATAGATATCTAACAAATGTATGTGCTAGATAATATTATACCCATTTTTAACCAGCACAGAAATTTAGGGCAGTGGAGATTAAGTAGTTTGCCCAAGGGTACCTTGCAATGAAGCCAGGAAACAAACTCGGGTCGGCCTGAGTCCAGAATCCTCTGTCCTCTGTATCAGCCTACCTCAATAATATCACAACAACTGCAGTTTGAAAATGCTTTGAACTCTTAAGATGAAAGATATCCCCTAAATTACAAAGTGGTGTTATGCTGCCGAAATGTGAGTGGTAACGCGAGAGCGGGTATGCCTGGGAACTTTTGAAAGGCCGGGTCTGCGTGGCTGTGGTCCAGCACCTTCAAGCTCCTTGCCGTCTGGTGGGGGCGTCTCACGCGCTGCATCAACACAAAGAAGGGTTCGGCTGCTCCACGCTGGGCCATTTGACACTGCCATTGTCCGTAAGGACTCATTGTCCGTGAAATGTGCCCAAGGCTTGTGCTTTCAGGGACTTGGAGTTGGGAAATCAGATTCGGGCAGTTCATGCGTGGTTTCACTGGAGCCATCGTCCGATGCCAAGTTTCTGCTTTCTGCTTTCTCCCTCTTGGGCAGTCAGCTGCCTTAAGTGGCTTCTTAGAGGCTCGCTGTAGAGATCACTGTCTCGATTTTGAATCCGAGAAGCCTTATTCAGGGTTCAAATGGGAAAACACCTGCTGGCCCACAGCCCTCCAGGCTCTTGGTGGTGACGGCAAATGTCTGCTTCTTTCCAGTTGACCATGTTGTTCCTGAGCCTGGGACCAGCCTGCTGGCCGCGTTTGACCAGTGGAGGGAATGGGCTGACAGCAAGTCCTGCTGTGACTACTCTCTGCACGTGGACATCACCGAGTGGCATAAGGGCATCCAGGAAGAGATGGAAGCCTTGGTGAAGGACCACGGTAGGTTGCACAGACTCACTCAATCCCCTCTGCAGGTGTTTCCATTTCAGTGCATAAACGGGCACCATTCTGGGAAGAAATGCTCTGCAAATAATGCTTCTAGATCCCATTCGCATCTGACGCCCATGCCTGCCCCTAGCAAGGGGAGAGGGCTTTGGGTTGCAGCTTGTGCTAATTGGAGGTGGCCCTGCCCCGTGCAGTAACACAAGCCTGCATTGATAAGAGAATACGAGCCTTACTGCTGGGACCTGTTCTTATAAAACAGCTGCTTGCAGCTTATTGGTTTGAGAGAGATCTGTGTTCTGTAGCCTGGTCGGGAAGTCGAGGCTGCCATGAGAGTGATTTACCCTTAAAGGATAACAGGTGCATATCCCAGTGTGGGTTCTGGGCAGTCTTAGGAGTGCACACGAGCCTTGAGTGTTGGGCAGCCTCTTCTACAAACCTGGAAGAATCCTAGATAGACTTGAGGGTAATGAGACAGCCTGAGGGGTCCTTTCTGTTTCATAGAATTATTTTGAGAAGCAGGATTCCAGGGATTGGAAAGATTCGCAGGGAGGCTGGGGGATTTTTACCACCTCATGGTGTCTCTGGGGCTCTTCTGTTAACAGGGACCTCGGGGGTTTAGGTGGAAGAGCCAGACAACATCGTCTTCCCGGGTCTGTGGGCTGGAGACCAGATTCCTGGGGACTCTTGTTGACCACACTGGATCTTAACCTCCAGGGAAATACCTGCTTTAGGGTTCTGGGACTTCCAGACCCAGAAACACCACGTGCTATAAGTAAAATGGTAGGAGGGGAATCTCTAGGCATGGATATGGTAGAAAAAGCCCCAGAAAGAAAAGCTACAGTCTCAGGTTTAATTCTCTGCTCTTCCATAGATTAGCTATGTGACCTTGGGTAAATCACTTAAATCTTATGGGTCTCAATTTTTTTAAAAATCTCTCAGATGAGGGTATTAGAGGACTAGATGTCCTCTAAGATTCTTTCCAGCACGAAGCTTCCACATAAAAGAAAAATAGGGAACCTTTGACCTTTCTCACTTTTGACAATACCAAAACTCTAATGGATTTTACTTTCGATGCTTAGGATGAATCTACTCCAAATCTGGCAGGAGGGTTACCATAGTAACTGTTGCCTGGCAATGAGAGAAGGGCCAGGATGTCCAGAGACATTTAACTCTGGCAGCTTCCAACACCCCCCAGGTGGCTTGAATTAAGCTCCAAGGCTATGAGGTTGTCAGGACGATTGTTTAAAATTGTGATGGATGTTGGGCAGGAATGTTTGGTCTGGTGCCTCGGGAGGCAAGCACTCTGAGACGCCAGGATGAGAATTGCAACATTTGCTTGTTAAACTAATGAACCTTTTCTTATTTAAAAAATCGTTTCATAAGTATCAGCATGGAAGGCAGTCTGTTTGCCAAAGAAAAGACATTTATTACACATTTTTCATAGACAGAAACTTCTAATTCATTTTCTTATTAAAGTCACAACAGACTTGGTTTTGGGGGTAGCTTTAAAAAATTTAACTGTGGTAAAATAAATATAAAATTTTACTTTCTTAACCATTTTAAAGTGGACTGTTCAGTGGCATTAAGTGTTTACCATCCATCCATGGGCCTCTTTTCACCTTGCAAAACCAGAACTGTGTCCCCATTAAACACTAAGTCCCCATACCCCACCCCCTGCGCCTGGCAACCCCTATTCTACTTTCTAAGAATTTGACTCCTAGGTGCCTTATACAAGTGGAATCATACTTTTGTGACTGGCTTATTTCACTTAGTCTAATGTCCTCAAGCTTCATCCATGGTATAGCATGTGTCAGAATGTCTCTCCTTTTTTAAGGCCAATACTATCCCATGTTATGAATAGACCACATTTTGTTTATCCATCCATTCATCTGTTGATGGACACTTGAGTTGCTTCCACCTTTTGGCTGTGTGAGTAATGCTGCTATTGAACATGGGTGTATAAATACTGGCACCTCTTCATTTTGATGTCATTTTAAAATTACAGAAAAATCGTAAGAATACTAAAAAGGATTAATGTGCACCACAACCTCATATTCACTGTTGTTTATACCCCACTTGCTTCATCATCCTCTCTTCCTCTCCACACATGCACACACACACACACACACACACACACACACACAAACACAAACACGCCCGCGCGCCCACATACATAACATTATCACTGTCTCATTCCTTTCCAGATTATTTGGTTTTGGTTTATTTGTTAAAAGTCCTGTCTCTACCTCTCTATTTTGTCTGTCCACTAGGGGTAAATTCCTTCCTCGTGTACATGGCTTTCAAAGATCGCTTCCAGCTAACGGATTCCCAGGTAAGAAGATCAGCTGTTCTGAACAGTCTCACTGACACTTGGTACGTTCGGGCTGCTGCTGTGGTCTGGGAAAGAAGTCTTCAGTGTAGGTTCCTTCCTTAGCTTCACGAGAAATGGCTGGCGGATTAGGTGACTGATGTACAATTTAGCCTTGAAGGAGAGTGGGAACCCAGTGCCTGGACCCCTGGGATGGGAGCTCCACCAGGCTCTGAATGTGAGTCGGAGCTGCCTACCGTGTCACGGCGTGGCCCAGAGGAGCACGTGGAGCTTCCTCCGCAAACCTGGTGCGGAGCCGGGGTGGCGTCTAGGAGCTGCTCACTCCTAATCCGTGTCCTGCTGAGTTGCACTGCCCTGGTCATTACTGAGGGGTCTTCCTCCACCACACGTGGCCGGAGACATTGCCCTCAGTCATGCCTGGCTTTGTAGAACAGCTGCGGGGGCCAGGGGGGGTACCATTTCTCATCCCAGGCATGTCGCTGGCGGGGAGATGGTTGTCCCTGTGGTCGGGGAGCTGGAAGTCCTTGTCTCTGATCCCACCCTCCTGTCTCTCAGATATATGAAGTATTGAGCGTGATCCGGGATATTGGTGCCATAGCCCAAGTCCATGCAGAAAACGGCGACATCATTGCAGAGGTAGGGGGCTTTCTTCATCATTTTTCATCACCTGGAGGGCAAGAGGAAGGCTCAAGAAAGTGAAATGTCTTCTGTAGCTTAACTCGAAGGCAGAAGGCTGGAGGGGCCTGGTGTTCCCTGGGGGCTCTGCTCATGGTCTCCCTGGTGGCATGAATGCCAGTGACACGCATGCCTCTCAGTGTCTGGCGGACACAGAGCTGGTTCCTGCTCCAGGGAGAGGCTGTTTCTCTCCGTGCTGTAATGCAGCAGCCGAGGGGGGGTATGGGAGTGCCCTCGCCACACACAGGCGTTGCACACTGTGGTCGAGGCCGGGAATATGTTGGCCTTCAGCATCCCGGGGGACAGCCGAGCAGTGCTGGGGGCTGTCACTGGTCCACCCTGCTCCGGCGGGACTGGGAATAGGGCAGTGAGGTCTTGGGATGAGGGCGGGTGGTCAGCAGTGACCATTTTCCATCTTGCCCGATCCCTGTGTGCCCAGCTCTGTCCCCACCACAGCTAGGTGAAGTGCAGCTCTCCCTGACAGCCTGGCTTTCTTTGAACATTCCAGGAGCAGCAGAGGATCCTGGATCTGGGCATCACGGGCCCCGAAGGACACGTGCTGAGTCGACCCGAGGAGGTGAACATCCGCGGAGCAGAATGCGTGAATCAGTGTCGCTTGGGCGCTGTGCAGAGCCACAGGGAACCCGCTTCCTACTGTCCTGTTGAGAATGTGGCTTCTCTGTGGCTACATTGACGGGGGTCTCTCTGGGCAGCTGTGTGTCACGTGTGTGTGTGTGTCTGCACAGGACAGTGACGTGTCAGACTGCACCTGAGGGTGAGGCAGTGTGGATTGTGTAGCCTGGAGACTCCCCTTACTGTTTCTGATTCAGCCGAAGCTGTCCTGCAGCTGTCCCAGGAATCAGAGACATTTGGACGTTTAAAGAGCTTTTTCAAGAGCCCTCTGCTTTGCCTGTGGGTTTCTGGACATCTCTCTTCACGTCGCTGGCGCCTGAAGGCCAGACGTGAATGAAGTGGTCTCAGCTTCACTAAATTAGATTATCAGCTAATGCAATTACTGAGCCTGATCTCCTGGCCGAGCTCTGGTGGAGACAAGGTAGCTGAGTTAATTCAGTCGGGAGCTCGGTTATGCCTTACGATAAATAACAGCTCTTTGCAGGACAGTCCATGAATATGAAATGAAGTCATTTATTTGTTCAGCAAACAGTTTTGAGCACCTGCTGGGTACCAGGCACGACACTAGGAACTCTTGGGTGGGGCATGGAGTACAAAACAATGAGTGGGCCCAGCCCCTCCCTCAACCAGTTCAAGCCACAGCCATTTGCCAGAATTCGGGGAGGGAGCCAGTGACGTTTTGAGCTCTGCTGTTCCATAATTTCACCCGTTCCTTTGCTGGCCCGGCGTAAACGCCATGGTTGGTTCCTCGTCAGATAGAACTTGATCCTGATCAGGTGTTTAGCATCATCCTGCAGGGTCTTTGAAACACCATTCACTGAGGCCTCGGCTTTAAAGAGCTTATTTGTGACACTAGTTCGCCCATCTTGTGCCAGAGGTCGTACCAGGCTGGGGCTGGCTGGCCATGTTCATGCTTCACACATGGGGGGCCGCGGACAGATGCTGCCGCCCCATTCCCTGTGAGACCGCATTGTTTTGTGGGTGATGCTGGCTTTGTCCCTGAGCATGTGACAGAAGCCCGACACCAAAACCACGTCACTGAATGTCTTGACTCAAGACCATGGGAGCAGAATGAATATACCGAATGGAGAGCAATCAGTGTCTGGGGGTGGCGGTTCTCGAACGTTAGCAAGCGTGGAAATCGCAGAGCATGGGTTCAGAGCCACGTTGCTGGGTCCCATACCCAGGGCTCCTAGCCTGTGGGTTGGGGCAGGGCCTGAGAATCTGCATGTCTTACAGCTCTGGACCTGTGCTTATGCGACAGGCTTGCTGCCCACACCTGGAGAAGGGTCAGAAAGGAATCACCCCACATTTCAACCATAGCAATAGAGTGACGCTGGGACAGTCACGTCCCCCTGCAGTGCCCCTGGGGGTGGAACCTTGGGGACCCAGCACAGCAGCCCCTCACGTGTCTTAGCCTCTGTTGGGGGGTGAGGGTAAAGATGGGGCTCACGGGGTGGGCTGAGCGGGCTTCTCACGCTCGACCACTCTTGCGCAGGTGGAGGCCGAGGCCGTGAACCGTTCCATCACCATCGCCAACCAGACCAACTGCCCCCTCTACGTCACCAAGGTGATGAGCAAGAGCTCGGCCGAGGTCATCGCCCAGGCGCGGAAGAAGGGTGAGCGCTGCGGCCGGGCTTGGAGGGGAGGGCACCTTTTCCAGCCCCTCATGCCAAGTGGGCCACTCTCACCAGGTTCCAGCATTAACCTAATTACAGGCGAGCGCGGCAGGGAGCTCCGGTTTCCTCCCGCTGTTCCGCTGCCACGGCCTTGCTCGTAGCTGCTCAGAGCTGTGTGCACAGCAAAGACGGGGTGGACAGCCGCGCCCCCACCCCACGCCCCGTTGAGAGGTTGGATTTAATTTGGTGCAGTCTAAATAAACCAGGCACATACACAGATGACGTCTGTTTCCATCTGCCACAGAATCCTTCTGGGGAACGTCATGTCGCATCATGCCCCCCCCCCCCCGCCCCCGCGAGGCTGGTAGTGATTTCAGCTGGGGTGAGTCAGACAGCCTCGTGGGACGCAGGATGCATTTCTCCCCAGACACTGTCACGTCCAGTCTTTTTGGTGCTCAGTAAACTCCATTGATGCGTTCTGGGCTGAGGCTGGTTCTCTGGTATTACCTGGGGTCCATTGAGAAGGTTTTGGAAACTGATTTACTAAGTGCGGCTTCCTCGGGAGGACTGGGGGGCCTTCTGCGTCATAAACGCAGTTGTCACCTGCTGCTGACTGTGAACTTGGACAGTCACAGCACGTTGGATGCTGGGAGTTATCTCCGGGCACAGAAAGCCTGGGAGCATGCAGTTGACGCCGGTGGCAGCCTTAGCCTGATGGGAAGTGAACCCCAGGAAGGCCTCTCCCCTCCCTCCTTCCCTTCTTCCCGTTACCTCTCCCCCGACTTCGGCTTCTCTCCATCTCCCTGTCTCCACTTCTCTCCGGATTTCTCTCTCATTTTCTCTTCCTCTTGACTGTCTCCGTCTCAGTCTCTTTCGCTCTCCCTCCCCTTGTCCCTCTGTCCTGTCTTCCCCACTGGAAAGGGAGCAGCCTGACCTCAGCAGCTCAGTTTCCGCTGCTCCGTGGGGAGCGATCTGTAGGGATCAGGAAGGGCTGTGGGATTTTTTACCTGGTGGATGTCTCGCTGCAAGCCCTGGAGCAAATTGCTCAATGACCATTGAGTCAGTTTGTCCCGAGAGGCGATGGCTTCCAGACGGACCCAGCAGGGCCTGGCCCTGCTCTCTGGAGCTCTTCTGGGGCCTCTGACCTTAGGCTTTGCAGCCAGTGGTTGCTGCCTTGCAGTTTTCTTAGAAACCTGCCCTCTCATGGCATCTTGAAAGAATTGCCTTTTTGAAATAAGAAAGCCTTCACCTATAACGATGTAACCCACCCAGAATCAGCTGAGTTGTTTTTCTAGGAGACACTGTGGATGACCACTGAGTCGGTGGCCCTGTGTCACGCAGGGACACACGCGTGGGAATCGGCCTTAGCACAGAAGGCCAGTCACAGCACTGCTGCTTCCACGTAGCGGGGGGATCGTTAGGGCCGTGTCTGAAAATGGAAAGAAGGAGGCAGCTTATTTTATGCATTTTACCAGACAAGGTTGATAAACGAGTTAGGCTAATGTTTCAGCATAATTTTGGATCGAGGCCTGGTTGTCCAAAGTTTACCCATATGCAAACACGTACCTGTCCAAATGAGAGGCTGCAGGGGTCCAGCCTCCTCCCAGTCCTCAGTCGGGGCAGGTGGCGTCATGGAGCCGGCCCTGCCACCACCATCCTCTTCTCCCGGCCTCCGCTTTCTTCCTGGGAGCCGCGGAGCTTGCGTGTGTGGTTGCAGCATCCAGTTCGCTCCAGCACCTGACTCTGTTGTCTTTATCGCTTTGACCCTGTGTATGTCTTGGCGGGTGAACACCAAGAGGGGACTTCAATCTGTTTCCTTCCAGAACCTTCTGGGCGTGAGTCCAACTGTGCCCCCCACCGGGGTTCCCAGGGTGGGATTTGCATTCAAACTGTCACCCTTTAGTCCTTGAAAGCCTTAGCTGTAGATAAACCTGAGCTGCCGGAAAGGAATTTTCAGTGCACTCAGGTGCTGACGTGCACGAGCGAGAAACCCTAGCTAACTTCATAGGCTCTCAAGCCTCTTTCCCATCGTGCTGGAACTTCAGGACAACTTTCGGAGGCAGCCCAGGCAGGAATTTTTATATTTTGTTTTACTTTGCAGCTGAGTAAACTGAAGCTCAGAACTAACGAACAGTGGAATTGGGACTTGAGGCCACAAATACCCGCATTCCGGTTTGACTGACTTAACCTCGTGCTTTGAAATTATTTTAATATGGTCATGTTCGTGACCTGCATCTGCTGGGGCTTAGTTTCTCAACAAACCTGGTGGAAACTGGAGCCTGACACCCAGCAGAGGCACGGATGCCGTGCCAGCAAGGATTCCCAAATGACCAAGAAGGAAAATGATAGAAGGTGGTATTAAGTGTTTGCTCTCTGGGATCGATGTCCTGTCCTGGATCAAACCCCAGGTCCATGGTGCGCCAGCCACGTGACGCCGGGCTGCTTCCTCGTTACCTCCTCATCCCCTTTTTCCATCTGCAAGGGAGGGTAGTAACAGTGACTCGCCTCGCAGGCGATGATGATGTGCAGATGCGAGAATGCAGGCAAAGTCACAGACAACAGCTCTGACCGACTGTTGTCATGGTTAAAGAATGAAGGGCTGGTTGAAGCTGGAGCTTGTTGGAAAAGCAGAGCAAAGACACCTCCTGACGCGGGACGGGGGTTTTCTGCTCAGGACTGTCTGTGTGCTTCAGGTGGGCGGTTCTGGTGCCTGGAGGCAAGTGTGAGGCAGCGACAACGTTCTGCTGCCCCGTTTCTTCCTCTGTGAGATGGAGAGATTCTTCATTCATTCAGTGACAGACCTGTGCGCCAGGAAGGAGAAATGATCCTGGTCCTCAGTTGGCTCCTTTGCTCGCAGGGGAGGGACACCAGGGGAGAAGGTCAGGGCAAGAGGGACAAGCCAGTAAGGTTAGAGCACAGAAGGGAGCCGCAGAGGGGTCGGACTGTGTAAGGGGACCCGAAATTTTCCCACAGTTGTGAGCTGTTGAAACATCATGATCCTCCCAGTGGGAGGAGCAGTCACATCTTCTCTTAATGCCCCTCACGCGTCCCCCCACCCAGAGACCTGCTGGTCCAAACGCTAAGCCAGGAGAAGCTTGGGGAAGTGAGGATATTAAGTGAGAACTATGTTCACATGCCCACTTGACCGCATCCCGTCTTCCCCGAGAGACAGCTGCCTCCACTGTCTGTGCCGCTCAGCAGGGCGGCGCCTCATCAACCCCACGTGGCAAGAGCAGGAAACGGAAACAGAGCCAGGACCGGAAGACCTGGGGCAGGCCTTTACTTTTGAAGAGAACGCAGACGTTGGTCTGTTTGGTGGGCTCATTCCGTGGAAGAGAGATGGGAAGGCAGAAACTGAACATGCTGCCCCAGACCATCCAGCCTGTGGGAAGTAGAAACAGAGATCCCGGACTCCTGGCCAGCTCTCTCTCCTCGGAGGGCCCAGTGCGGGGATTCTCCTCTGGGTGGGTTCCCTGGGTCTGCGTTTTGTCCCTGTGTGGGATCTGGTGTGGCTGCTGATGCCTCCCGTGTGTGAGTGGCAGCCATGGCAGTGCCTGATGATCTTATCTGGTGGACACTTTTTTCCATCCTCCTCCTCCTCACTCCACCCCCGTAATCCAGATGCAGAAAAGTTCGGAACAGCTGTGGCTGCTGGGGGACATGAAACTCTGGGAACTGAAATTCATGACGAGACGTCTTATGCCCTGTGGGTCAACAGGAGTGACCCCAGCATCCTAAGGAGCTTGTGGTCGTGTGGTGACATGGGGCCCGTGAGGACCCCCTCGATCTGGGGATGAATCCTTAGTGTTGAGCTAATGCACAGCGTACCATTCTTGAACCTAGAGTAAGGACTGAGAGGGGCAGGAGGGTTGAGCCATGAATGTCATAAAATCCCTCCACAATCCGTGTTAGGGTTATCTAGATAAATAGAAACAGTGGAATATATAGAGAGAGAGAGAGAGAAAGAGAGAGAGAGTGACAGGCAGACAGAGGTTTCTTTTAAGGACTGGCTCACGTGATACGAGGTTGGCGAGTCTGAAATCCGCAGGTGGGGCCAGCAGACTGGAGGCTCAGGGAAGAGTTGATGTTGCCACTCAAGTCCCAAGGCCATCTGGAGGCAGACTCCCGTCCCAATCAGGGCCCTGGCTTTCACGGCAGACACCTCGTGAGGTTGGGAATTCAGTTTGCATCGTGGTTCAGCCGTTCGCAGGATGAGATCCCGGGTTTGGTTTTTGGCTGTCCCAGCTCTGCATCTGTAAGACGTCAGGGTCTCTTTCAAGGCAGACATGGAAACTTTGGTCATTTACGTGCTACTTGAGCTGGGAATTTGAATCCTGCACTCATTCTCTTCTTTCCCCACTTTGTTCGGCACAATTAAGGAGCAACTGAGCGATCTCGTTATACTTGTTAATCTGACAGACGTGTTCCAAGGTTCAAATACACAGTCACACAGACCCGTGCCTCTTAGAAGTGTTTGATTGGGAGTATCCAGTCGTGATGTTTCGTGCACCTCTATTACCCCACCGTGCCGTGGACGATCAGTGCTCTCTTTACTATTGGAACTAGGGTCATTAGTGTCTTTATATCCAGTCAGATTCGAGAATCAATTCTAAAAACCTCAGCATCAATTCTAAAAACCTTAAGATTTCGTTCCTCGAGAACCACTCCTGGTACGAACACCTGACAGCCCAGGCCCCAGGCTGTTAGGGTTTGGCACAGGTTCTCTGCAAGGAGAGGGAGAGAGGTGAGCATGTGTGAGTGTGTGTATCTGTCCGTCCGTCTGTCCATCCTGGTGGGTTTTTCACTCTGCTTTTGTGGCTACACATTGAGCTGCATAGACGTGGTTTCCCACTGTTCCTCCTCTGGATTTGTCCTCCTGCTTCTCGTTCCTGGGAAATGACTGTCAGAGCTGGGAGCTGTCACACGTCTCTAAATGCCAGCTTCCAGTTTATTCTTCACGAGTGCACTCAGGCCCTGGGCTGGTTCTGAATAAACACCACCCCCGAGTCCCCTGCAGTTCCTGGCCTTACTGGAGAGGCTGCTAAGGGCTGGCTTGGGGTCACATCCGCAGTGTCGACTTTCCCTGGAGAAGAAAATCACGAAGGTCTACCGACCGCCAAGAAAGCGTCAACAGTGTTTTTAGAAGAGTGCAGCAAGGCCAATTAAGCCCTTTCGATGGTTTATTATTATTAGTGGTAATTATTTCTGGCACGCACTTCAGTGGTGTCTGTGGCCCGACTGAGCTCCGGAAGCTCCTCCACGGCTCCATCACGCGCAGTGTTTACGGAGTAGGGAGAGGGGCCCTGGGTGGGGGCTCCCGGCCACCGTGATGGTGTGTGTGCTTGTACGTGATGGTTTATCTCCCGCCTTGCCTTCTGGGGCTAAAGAAAGAAATGAAACCAAAAGACAGCAAGGACCTCTGAATCCCTCAGGGAATTTCAGCAGAGCAGAGCAGAAATGAACTGCCAGATGCCTCCCTCCTTCCGGCGCCCACCTCTCCTGTCCCTGTGTGTCCTTGTGTTAGCGTGGCCGCGGCCCAGCAGTCCTCACTCAGCCTTCGTCTAAGAGGCAGGTTCTGGTCAGCAGTAGTCTTAGAAGCTCCGACCCTGATCTGGGGTTTTCCAGAGGCTGAAGGCCAAGTTCATTGTCTCGTGGAGAGCTGCGTGTTCCCGTGCATGGAGGGAGGGGGGCTCCGTCCAGCCCCTCGCGGAGCTGCCCCCGCCCCAGCCCAGCCTGAGTCGTGCTCTGCAGGGAGAGATGAGCCCACGGTCTGCAGCATTCACGCTCATGGTTCTCGGGCCGCTTTTTATGAACAAGCCCCTCCTGGGGCACCGGTTTCTAGAGATGGGACAGGGGGCAGAGTCAGGCAGAAGACAAGTGACAGCAAGTTACAGGAAACTCAGGAAAATGGTTTTATGTTTGTCCAAGGAGTTCCAGAGGCCGTCCAGCCATTCTTTTTCTCCAAGCACCTTTGCTCTCAAGAACTTTTTCATGTGGACAAAACCAGGAAACCTTTAGGGTTGCAGGTCCTTTGTTTTCCTGTGACCTGTACAGACCTCACCTTTGTGCTCAGACGGACAGTGGCCAGCAGGACCTGAGGGCCGGGCGGGGTCAGGAGAGTTAGGGTTCGTCAGAGCCGTTTGAGCCAGAGCTGTTTGAGCCAGAGCTGTTTGAAGCTCGAACCAAAAGCCGGGAGTTGGAGCCGGGATCCTTTGAGAACTGTGGGCTGTCCCGGGTCCTGCTCGGCCGTTTGCATTCATGAAGGTCCTTGGCACATCCAGGGCCTGCTCATTATGCGGTGTTTTTCCACTTGGCGACGACTGGAGCAGTTTGTGCAGCCACCCGGCTGGCTCGGCGCACCAGCTTCTGCCTCGGGGGCTCTGAGAGGGTCAGGAGCCCAGGGGACACTGGCAGGCCTTCTGGGCACCGGCCCCTTCCTTCCTGGGGGCTTCCTTCTGGGCCAGGCTTCCCCTGGGTCTGGAGCCCTCTCTCCTGCTGGGGGTGGGGGGCGTTGTTAGGGGTGTTGGTTGGGGTGTTGTCAGGGGTGTTGTCACTGATTGCCCCAGTGAGCTGCCTGCAGCGGCCTCCAGCACTCCCTGGCTGAACAGCGAGTCCTTTGTGAAATTCCTGAGGCAGGAGGGGGCAGCTGGCGGAGCCAGCTCTCGGAGTGGCCTGCAGAGAGGGCGCTGGGTGTATTATCTAGCGATAAGGCCCCGGAGAAGGCCGCGAGGGGAAGGGAAACACATTCCTGACTGTGGTGTGTTTGGCCTTGAGGGCCCCTGTGTTTGGAGAAGAGGGAAGCTTGGCCGGAGCATTGTGGGAAGGAGGTGACGGGAGGTGAATTTGCTGACCTGGGATCACATTCCAGCTAGAGGTGCCTTTAACTAATAAAATATCAGACCATGTAATCAATTTAACACACATTCACTGAGGGCCTACTATGTGCAGACTGATAAATGATAAACAGTGTGTCTCCATCAAGTGCAGAGTCAAAAAATGTCATTTTTTTGGCAATCGGGGGAGTGGAAGATGGGATTCTCAAACGGGTGTTGACACCCGAGTTGAGTTTAAGACGATGTTAAAGAGATTAGCTGGATAACGAAGGGTATCAGATGCTTCGGTGAGGAAGGTTTTTTTCGTTTTTGTTTGTTGGTTGTTTTTAAATCCCCGAAGGCAGAAGGGCTCCTTTGGAATATTTTATGCAAGAGAACGGCATGGAAAGATTATGTTTTAGGAAGACCACTCTGGAAGTGTCATGGAGGATGAACGGAGGCGGGGAAGGGGTTTGGGGAAACCTGAGTCTAAAGTCTAACTGGCGAGTGCAGTTGGCGTGAGCTGGGGAGACATGACTAGGGCCTGATCTAAGGAAGGCTGGTATGTAAGTCACTAAAGCACCGGCCTTCGGGGATATAAATGATTCCCAACTTCATGGCTCCCCCCGAGTGGACAGAGAAGAGGACACGATTTGGCGTCAGGGAGCTGACGTTCTTTCTTGAACGCTGTATTAATTAAGTTAGGCTGCGCTTCCGGAAATGCTGACATCTGAGGAATGTCACTGTGCAAAGTTTGTTTCTCACTCTCACCAAGTTGGCTGTGACTCTGGTGGCTGTCACGGGCAGCCCCCTTCAGGGGGTGACGCGGGAATCCAGGCTGTCTCTTGGGCAGATCTGAAGGGCTGTGGATTTGCTCTCAAATCCTTCCACCTGGTGATGTCGCGTGTGATTCCCTGTCATGGGCCTTTACTCAGAACTAGACCCTGGGAGGGTTTGGGAGCTGCAGGCAGAGCAAGCATATGCTGAACAGTACGGCTGCGTGTGCGGTGCCACGGATCATGCAGAAACAAGTCCACGTGGCACCTGGGCTTGGGTGCTGAGACGCCATCTGGGCGGGAGATTGCTAAGAGTTGGGAATGAACAGAGAAGGAGCGGGAAGCCTTCAGGACGTTGGGATTCCCTAGTGAGAGTATGTGGAGTTGGAAGAGCAGGCGCCAAAGGTGAACTCTCGGAACACACATTCCTGGGTGACTTTCGCTGGCCGAGGTACCTGCCTCCCCAGGCATCGTCTGTGAGACAAGGCTGTCGTCTCCCTGGGTGTGCTGCCAGGCAGGTGGCGGCTCAGAAGTGCGGTTTCCTTCCTTCCTTCCGCGTCGTCTCGGGCTGAGCCTTGTGTGTTGTTTGCCAGGAACCGTTGTGTATGGCGAGCCCATCACCGCCAGCCTGGGGACCGACGGCTCCCACTACTGGAGCAAGAACTGGGCCAAGGCCGCCGCCTTCGTCACCTCCCCACCGTTGAGCCCGGATCCGACCACTCCAGACTTCCTCAACTCCCTGCTGTCCTGGTGAGTCCCGGCGGCTCGTTCACACTCCGTGTTCTCGGTCTTTCCTCGGACCAAACTGACCGGGTAGGTGACAGCGTGGTGGCCGAGAGCAGGCTGGCAAACAGGTGGACCCTCGTTCACCACACCAGGATGGCTAACCGGGAAAGGGATTCCAACGCCACTCTGGGAGGGAATTTCACATAAAAACCTGGGCCATCTTGAAAGTTACCCACAGGGGTGACCGAGGTGTCCAGACTCCGCTGGGTTGGGGCAGTGTCACCCGGGATATACCTCGCCCAGTAGATTTAGGGACACAGCATTCTGACGAAGCTTCAGCGTCACGTCACACGTTTTCCTTCTAGCGGAGACCTCCAGGTCACTGGCAGTGCCCACTGTACTTTCAACACTGCTCAGAAGGCCGTGGGGAAGGACAACTTCACCCTGATCCCCGAGGGCACCAACGGCACGGAGGAGCGGATGTCCATCATCTGGGACAAGGCTGTGGTAAGAGCAGTGGCCTCGCTCTCGGGCGGGTCTCAGCCTCTTTGTCTGGGGGCCGTGGGGCTCCTGGAGGCCTTGACATGACAATTGAGAACATTCTAGAAGCCGGCACTTGTGTGACATATTTCTTAGGTTTGAAATCCAAGGCCACTGATTATAAGTCATTCCTCCTAAACGTTACATATATGTTTCTTAATCATTATCCTCTATGGAAACTATATACATAGTCTTTCAATGTGACTCAGTCACGTAGGAAAAAGCTTCCTTAGCAACCTGGTGACTCACTCGGTGAATCTTCTTCTGCTCTTGGAAATCAACTCATTTTCCTTAGAAGTCTCTTTTAGAGCTCTCTGGGTTTATTTAGCATTCCTACTCATTACTGGCCTCAGGTAGGCCTGCTTTGAACATACACTGACCTTTAGGAGATCTTTGGAATTTAATATATATTTAATGTTTTAAAATATATTAACAGAACAGGTTTCCTGTTTTTTAGTGAATTTTTTAGATTATGTAAATAATATATCTTGGCCAGGTGCAGTGGCTCACGCCTGTAATCCCAGCACTTTGGGAAGTCGAGGCAGGAGGATCATTTGAGCCCAGGAGTTTGAGACCAGCCTGGGCAACATAGCAAGACCCCATCTCTACAAAAAATAAAAAAAATTAGGCGGGCGTGGTGGTGGGCGCCTGCAGTCCCAGCTACTTGGGAGGCTGAGGCAGAAGGATTGCTTGAGCCCAGGAGTTTGAGGTTGCAGTGAGCTGTGATCTTGCTATTGCACTCCAGCCTGGGCCACAGAGTGAGACCCTGTCTCAAAAAAAAATAAATAAATAAGTATATATATATATATATGAGATTGCTTTTTTTTTTCACTTGGCGTAATGCCCTTGACCTCTGAGTTATTAGATATATCCATGGTTTGTTCCTTTTTATTGTAAAGTGATGTTCTACCCTTCAGCTTTTTAACCTGCTTTTGCTGTGTGCATTTGTGCTGTGCCCCTCAGGTCACTGGGAAGATGGACGAGAACCAGTTTGTGGCTGTGACCAGCACCAACGCAGCGAAAGTCTTCAATCTCTACCCCCGGAAAGGCCGCATCGCTGTGGGATCTGATGCCGACCTGGTCATCTGGGACCCCGACAGCGTGAAAACCATCTCTGCCAAGACACACAACAGCGTAAGGCCTGTTAACCGTGCAGACCGACCCCGTCACAGGAAGTCAGAGGAAGGGAGAGCACCAGGGTTTCTCAGAACTCGCTGAGGGGGTGGCCTTTTCCCTGGAATCTGTTACAACTTGCAATTTATTGAGGAAAAAAAGTAGCTATTTCGTTTTCTCTAGTGAGGTCGATAAGACTGTTACCCCATCATCACTTTGGAGTCCCACGGCTTCTCATTCCATAGACCAGAGCCTCAAAGTCATGCCAGGACCCGAGAAGCTTCCAGAAGTCGGGCACCATCCCATTTTCATAGTTGGGCGCAGCTCATGGCGGTGCTTGGTGCAAGTCAGATGTCCTCTCCTGAGATGCCCCTCGGGCACTTTTATTCTCTTAAGCCATCGTTTTCTCATGTCAGTGTTGCCGTACAAAACCGGAATGACAGTCCCTCTTATTGTCCTGAAGGAACCGATTGACTTTGCCTTCTCCCTAGTAGAAGAAATTACCCACAGCTATTCACTCACAGTTTCAGGATCTGCAGGTTTGGGGTCCCTCTTGCCTCTGGGTCTGGTCTGTGGAGCTTAGGGGTGCCCTCTCTTGTTAACGTGACCCTGGGCACGTGACTTGATGTCTCAGGCTCCTCATCAGAGAGTGGGGGGCTCAGACGAGGTCCCCAAGTGCCTGTGACTCTGCGAGGTCAGTGTGCGTTAGGCAGAGCTGTTAGACACCACCGATTGCCACTGACAAAATGGTAGAGGTAGGAAATTGAAGAACTATGGACAAGGGTAGAGCTTTGGAAAAGAAATGGGCCCCAGGCAGAAGCGTTTTGTGTCAGAAACTCATCTGAATCTTGGGAGTGAATTCCGAATGGGGACATTATTCTCTGGGAAGCTCTAAATTGCAGGCTGGCTCGATAGGGAGCAGGGTTCCAGCCTGCCCACCCCGCACAGCCTGCGCCAGCAAGCACTGACACCTCCCCGGCACCCGCCATGCGCCATGACGCCAGGACAGGGGTGTGCTTCTGGAATTTCCCCAGACAGCCGGGGCCTTGGCCATTTCCCAGTTCTGCCTCCTTTGGATGGAGGTGTTTGGGCTGCGGTGAGCTCGGGCCCAGTTCTGGCTCCTTCTGGCACCTGCGGGTACCAGGATGGTGGTGGCTGCTCACCTGCATATTTGTAGCCGACCCTCTCCCTCCTTCCCGCTGGCTGGCTTAGCCCGGCAGCACGGCGCACCCACTTACAGCGCGGATCGCAGCCCCGTGGGGGTTCCGACTGGCTGCTTTATGGGCAGGGGTGCTAGGGGCCTGCCTGGTGGACCTACCTAATTCACACGCATTTAATGTTACACCCCTTTTACTCTTTATTTGACCTTCTCAATAAAGGGACTGGTATTATTATCCCAATTGGGAAGATAAATAAACAGAGGCTTAGAGAGCTTAAGTGACCAGTCTAACGTTACATAGCGATTTTGCGGTCAAGCCAGAATTAGAACCCAAAATTGTTTAGAGCTCTTCCCTGCCAGCCTGCAGCTTCTTGGTCAGGGCTGCATGGAGAAAACGCTTTCCCTCCCTTGCAGGGTCCCTTCCCCCTCCGAGGAAATATTAATATTAAGGGCAGACTGGGCTCCTTATTTGAGAAACGTATGACCTGGCTGGGGAGCTTGCACGTGGACCTCTTAGACCGGAAAAAGAGAAGACGGGAGGGAGTAGAGATTCGGGAAGACATTTCCACACAAACCTGCCCTACCCTTAACTCCAGGTGACCCCTGTAGGAGATGTTGACTTTCAAAGTGCTGCTTTTCCGTCCTCACCTGTTTCAAAGAGCCAGAGCTAAGCATGCCTGTGCATCCATCACTGGGAAAATGCAAACAGGAGGCTTTCCCCATGGAGGAGTGTTTCCTGCTAATTGGCCCTAATCCGGGGCATCCAGCTAACTGTTGTTGACAGCCCTGTTGCTAAGCCTCTGCTTGCAATTTCCAGGCATCCAGCCAGATGAGTAATTTTGGGGAGCCCGGGTGGACGCAGGTTAAAAGTTTCTATGTGTGGTGCGCCACGAGCCTCCCTGCCTCACGCTTTGGCTGAGGGTCGGCTCTGAGTGCCCCGAGCTGGGACCTGACCCTTGGACTTCTCGATTTTAAATCACCTAAGAGCCCAGGGGCTGCTTCCTCCATCTTTCTAACATGGGAGGTGGCCCCAGAGCTCTGTGGGTGTTCATCTACAGGCAGCTAGACTCAGTTTACGCGTAGTGTGATGTCTCAGACCCCGCAGTCTTGTCAGCAAAGTGCGATAAAAAGCCAGACAGCGAATGAGTGAACATTTGCTAAATGCCTGCTGTGTGCTGAGTCGGGTGCCGGAGGCATTTGTTCGTTCTATTTCATTTAATCCTGGCATCAGTCCTGCGAAGTGGGCTCCATTTATCCTCTTATAAAAGAGGACACTGAGGCCCGGCAGAGTGTAAGGGACTTGTCCAAGGACACACAGCTGGTGAATCGCAGACCCGGGATGTGGACCCAGGACAGATGGCTCCATGGCAAGGCCTCACCCGTTGCTCTCCCCGGGAGGGCGCAAGAGGAGGTTGTCGGCGCAGAGCTGTGGAGTGACGGGGACCTGACTTGACCCAGGTCTTAAGGGCCGACTCGCTCCCTTCCAAAGGTTATCCGGGGATGACGGGGGACGATACTTATTGTATTGTCATCTTCACATAAGCCTCGGGAGGGTGGCAGATGCAGAAACCAAAGCTCTGCGGCAGGATTAGAGTGACCTGCCCAGAGTCACACAACTTCTGGATTATACCATACCTGAGATGCCATGGATTTTAAGATTTTCCATTAGATCACACACCGCGGTGAAAGAGAACACACCCAAGATGGGGCGTCTCATAGGACACTCCCATAAAACTGTGCAGGGCCACCAAGGGCCCAGTGGGAAGTGAACTTCTGTGCAGAAAGGAGTGGCAGGAAATCTTCCATGCCTCGACTTCGGCATTGGATGCCAGGAGGGATAAATGTCTCTCCCAAGAATTCGCACCAAATGCTGGTGCTTGTGTAGCTTTGTGATGTGAATTCACACTGCCCACATGGTCTGGAACAGCCTTAAGCTGGGGATTTAATGTGAAATGCCCCCAGTGTGGTCACCCTCCGGGCCAGGGGCAAAGGCAAACCCAGATCCCCCTGGAAGAGCTTGACTTCAGTCTAGGCTGATAGCAGTGGCACAGCTCTGGCTGCTGTAAGACACATTTTGAGTTCAGGGACTAGTGTCTTAGAATGGACGAAAGACAGTTGTAAGAGCTGAGCACTCCACCCACACTGGTCTCCGTTGAGTCCACTGGTCTCCGTTGAGGTCTCCGCAGGGTAGAGTCCTCTTCCCTGCCCTGAGGTGCCTCTCCGCTGTGGTTCCTTTGGTAGCTTTCGAATTACTCTGAGATGAGAGCAGCGTGCTGACAGCCCTCATTGCTGCTCCACTCAACTCCATGTCATGGCGTCGCTGCATTTCCGTGCTGGCAGGCCGGCCGAGGCTGCTCTGTGCTGCCCGCCGCTGCACCAAGCAGGTGTTCTCCCGCCCGGCGGGCACTGGCGCAGCTCTCTGCTCAGAGCCAGCTCCCCGAGTGCTGATAACCTGGTCTGGATTGCACCAGAAGCCCAAGCTGCTCTTTGTGGCCGGAGCTGCCAATTAATCCTCCATTCCTGGGCTCGGCCTCAGCCGCCGGTGTCGGGAACGGGATAGGCAGGAGGAAGCGGGAGGCATTCGGGATCTGGGGGAGCTGACGCTACAAGATGTGACTCTGACACGTGGAGTTTTAAATGTCAGGGTATGGTGCTCCCCGTTTTCTGTTACCTTATTCCTGACAACAAACTCAAACTCAAATAGGGACCCCACCTGTTTCCATGATGGCATCCAGAGTTGACACTGTTTCCCCTGGAAAATTTGAAACCAAAAGGACAGCTGTGTTGTTTTGGAAATCAACCAACTCTCAGACATTTTATCCCAGGCATGGCTCTTCAGATACCAAGTCCCTTTCATTTAGGGACTTCGGTTTAGCCACACCACTGACAGCTTGGAGAACCAGGCAAGCCAGTAGGAGAACTACCTGTGGATGGCCCCTTTCGGGCTGAAATTTAGAACTTGGTCAGAGAAGGCCTTTGGAATTCAACCTGAATGGAGCTTGAATTGGTGGGAACCCTGCCCCTTCTAATAGGAGGGATCCTTTTCTTTATATTTGTGCAGCATTTACGCACACTTTAAATGCAACTATTCTGTTCAATTATTTTTCTTCTAAATTTGGAGAGGTAGGAAAGGTTATTCCAGATGAAGACACAGGGATGAAGTGCCTACAGGGGTGGCCAGCCAAGACAGGAGCCCTGTCTCTGGGCCATTCCTCTGTCCACAGGAGGTTGGGGCAGTGGGAGCTGCGGGCTGATTGAGTCCTGCAAGGTGGCAGGGCCTCTCAAGTTTCCTGTGCTCTTTTCTTCCAGTCTCTCGAGTACAACATCTTCGAAGGCATGGAGTGCCGCGGCTCTCCGCTGGTGGTCATCAGCCAGGGGAAGATTGTCCTGGAGGCCGGCACCCTGCATGTCACCGAAGGCTCTGGGCGCTACATCCCCCGGAAGCCCTTCCCTGATTTTGTTTACAAGCGTATCAAGGCAAGGAGCAGGGTGAGTGGTTTTGTTCTTACGATTTGTTTTTTAAATCATGGATTAAGTCCAATGCCACCAACACTTATTAAGCGCTTTGAATCAGAATATTGAGGTGAATACAGGGGATGACAGGGATAAGGGGAACCTGATCTTTGTATTCCTGGAACTTAAAATACTGGAGGGGGAGTCGTTGTCCACAGCCAGCCTGAGCAAAATGTTATGACGAGGAGTATGGGGTGACGACCCAGAGGAGGGAAACATTGCTGCAGAATTGTGGGGGAGAGTGCCATGGGGAGAGGGCATTTTGAGTTGGGTTTTCAAGGTTAAGTAGGAGTTTGTTAAGTCAAAGAAGGGAGATGGGGAACTAGGTAAAGAGAATGTCATGAGCGTAGAAAATGTATAGTGTATTCAGGGTATGGCGAACAGTCCACATCCCTGGTGTGAGGACTGTAAGGCAGGGAAGGGACGGAGCTATAAGGGAATTAAAGGGAGATTGAATAGAAAGTTTGGGGCCAGACCTTAAACCTGACACCAGATCCTCCTCATAGCATATTTAGGGGATCTTACAAGGTTTGAAGTTGAAGTTCCTTGGGAGAAAAATGGTAAGAAGTGTTAGTTTTTGTACAGTAATCAGTTACCAGTGACCCAGCTTGTGGGGAGCTTTAGCTTAGAGCCGAGGAAGCTGGCCCCACACCACCTGTCCTTGTCGTACCTGTCTGTAAGGAGAGCCCTCCATCCCCAAACCTCACAGGCCCGTCCAGGCCTCTGGTCCTTCATTGGGAGGTTGCTAGGGAGGTGTCCCCTGTGACTGCGGCCCGAGTCAGGGGGCTCTTGTGTTTTGCAGCTGGCAGAGCTGCGAGGGGTTCCTCGTGGCCTGTACGACGGCCCCGTGTGCGAGGTGTCTGTGACGCCCAAGACAGTCACTCCAGCCTCCTCGGCCAAGACGTCTCCTGCCAAGCAGCAGGCCCCACCTGTCCGGAACCTGCACCAGTCTGGATTCAGCTTGTCTGGTACGCCTGTGGCCATATCCTGCGGGACCAGCTCACGGGAGCCGGGGAGCCTGCAATTGTATTTGGAAAGGGAGCAGAAATGGAAGGGAATGATAGTCTCATTCTCCCCAGAGTGATTACCAGTTTATATCACATATAACGCTATGATGCCCGTACTATGTGTAATACCTGATGTATTAAGAGGACATTTTTTCAGTTTATTATGTCCCTTGTGAAAAAGGACATAGCGGTATTTCAGGACTTCTCCCTACAGTGTATCGTAGCAGTTCAGCTTGTGGAGTCTGGGGTTTGAACAGCCCAGCTTCGGAGCTCAGCCCTAGCTGTGCCTCAGTTTCCTCACCTGTAGAATGGGGATAACAGCAGTAGTTCCCTCATGAGGTTGTCTGTGAGGATTAAAATGAGTTAATACTCTTGTAACGTGCTTAGAACTTTACATTTGAGAACTGTCAGCTATTCGCCTGGATAAAACACATGACGTCCCCTTGGTGAGAGGAAAGGGTCCGCATTTGAGAGTTCCCCTCCTTGAAACTTCCCTCCCGAATTTCATCTGGTCCGTGACTAGAATATCCCACTTTTCCAGCCTCCAGAGCCACAGATAGGCACCCGCATTCCTACGGCATGTTAAAGGAATTGTTCATCAGACGATTTTTGTCTTGTCAGATGTACTGGATTTTAGAAAGTTGCCATACGTGACATGAATGGATAGACAGTTTTCAAAAAATTCAAAAATAACGAACTTTAGTTTCATCATAAGTAAAACGGGCATCGTCCTGTCTGTCTGTCTGATGTCACCAGGCCATTCAAATACAAGGCACCATCGTTACTCCTTCTTGCGACTGTAGGTGTGGGGTTAAGGACGTAGAATGCCTTCAGAAAAGCCACCGCCAACCTGACTAATGGGAACAGTGGCAGGGCGGCACCTGACACGTAGTGGCATTTCGTACATAGTTTTCCTTTCTCTAGTGTAGATCCAACTAGCTTCCGCAAGCGCTGCTTTGATTCTGGGATTCTTTGGCCAGCCTTGGATCTGTCCCCTTTTGTAGTCTGACCTGACAGTGACGTTTTGAGAGAAGGGCAGACACTGTGACTCTGATTTGAAGCAGGAGCTGTCGTGACCACGTGGCAGTGCCTCACCCTCTCTCCTCTCCTCTCCCTCCAGGCGCTCAGATCGACGACAACATTCCCCGCCGCACCACGCAGCGCATCGTGGCGCCCCCTGGTGGCCGTGCCAACATCACCAGCCTGGGCTAGAGCTCCCGGGCCACGCCCTGCACTTGGGGATGGGGGATGAGACACCTGAGGACATTCTGAGACTTCCTTCCTTCCTTCCTTCCTTCCTTCGTTTTTTTTTTTTTAAGAGCCTGTGATAGTTACTGTGGGGCAACCAGTTCACGGGGTCCCCTCCCGGGCCTCGCACTCCGTCTCTCACCGAGAGTTACTGATTTTGCTCACCCACTCCCTACACGTCTGCGAACACCACACCCGGGTCTGTCCACCCTCAAACACGGAACCGCACCCAACACTCAGACATGCGCAACAAAGCAGGTCACAGCGAGGGTGTCTTCATCTCCAGCCTCCGTAGTAGTCGTTAGCCTCTCCCTTCTCACGGGGGAAGATAAAGTGAATTGCCCAGAGCTGCCTTTTTCTTTTTCTTTTTCAATTTTTAAAAAAGTTTTCTTCGTGGGGGGTGGGGAGGGGTCGGGGGTGGGGGAGAGTTTTTTTTTTAATACTAAATTGGAAAGTCTAATTCATTATTAATACAAGGGGTTTGAACTGGACATCCTAATGATGCAATTATGTAACCGTCACGCTGATTCAGGGTGGTTGGCAAACTCATCACGTCCATCCTGAGAGGCTCCAAAATGCCCACGTCACAGCCATTCTGTAGCCTTCTGGGTCACCTGTTGATAAAGGGCAGGCTTGCTTTTTTTGGCCTAGATTTTATTGCAGATGAAATCTCTGGAGGTGAAATCTCTTCACCGTTTTTCTGCACACTCTTTCTCTCTCTCTTTAGCTCATGAATATTTTCAAGTGTCTGTCCCTTTCTTCATGTTTCCTCCAGCCCTCGTCTCTGAGACAGTGGGGTTGTCCCCACCTTCCCCTGTCGTCTTTTGAAATTGCCAGGTCTGCCATTTCATCATGGTCACGGACCCGCCCACAGGATTTGAGCGTTGCCACGGCAACCATGGCGGTGTGTTGTCCTGGCCTGTGTGAGGCTGGTGCTACCCACCCCGTCGTGAGGTTGTGCGTTAGAGTTGGAGACTCTTGCCAGGTGCGGGGTGGGCCGAGCGGTGTCACCCACACTGTCACACGGGGGCCCGGCACGGACCCGCAAACAGTGCTGAGATGTTGAAGAAGTCTGAGGCTGCCGAGCAGGAGGTTTTTCCCCTGTGCCGTGCTGTCTGGCTAAAGACACGGTCAAACCTGTCTATCAAGCCCCAGTCACCCTAGCAGGCCACCCAGGCCAAAGGCAGCCAACAGCTCACAAGCGCTAAGCTAGAATCTGGCCCGAGCGCCTGCTCTTTTCGGGTCTTTTGGGATTCTAGAACACACTGGGGCTTCTCACTTTGGGACAAAAATCCATATTTTTTTCTCATCCAATTATTTCAAGAGATGTAATGCAATATAGGGAGGCCCTATAAACTCAAAAAATCACTGGGAAATTTGACTTAAAGTCCATTTTACTTTGCGAGAGGAAAAATCGGTTTTATGAACGGTATGTCAGAGCTGTCGTGGGAAGAAAACCTTACAAGTTACACGCGTGGCCACCTCAGAGACCACAGGAGATCCATCTCGTGTCCCCGTCCCGCCCCCTCGTCTTGCTGACGGGCTGGCTCCCCTGTGCCCGTCCCTGTCCTTGCCGACGTGTGCCGCATTTCATTCTGAACGTGTTTACAGATTCTCTTAAGCAGTGTTGTGTTTGCAAGGCTTTTATAAAACCAAATCTGTTTTCGTAAAGCATAACATCGAAAAAGTAGGTCATCACATCACTACCCTCCTCTCTCCACACGTTTTGCCTTCGGGGTTACAGTTGGGGTTTCGGGTTTATGTTGTTGTTGTTTATTTGTTATTTTAAAGGTAAATTGCACTTTTAAAAAATAATTGGTTGACTTAATATATTTGCATTTTTTTTTTCTCACCTGCACTTAGAGGAAATCTGAACAAGTTGGAAAAAAAAATTTTTTTTTTGTTTCAATTCTAAGAAACACTCGCAGCTCTTTAGTATTCACTTGAGTCTTCCTGTTTTTCCTGTACCAGGTCCTGGTCATTTTGGTTGTTTTGATTGTTTTCGTAAAAAAAAAAAAAACAAAAACAAAGCAATTTAAAACCTGAAGATTTCTGCAGGCTGTGTAAGCATGTTTACCTGTTGGCTTGCTTTGTGTGTCTGTTAAATGAATGTCACATGTAAATGCTAAAATAAATCGCCAGTGTCTCAGAACTGAACAACTGCAGTGACTTGATGCTCTAAAACAGTGTAGGATTTAAGAATAGATGGTTTTTAATCCTTGAAATTGTGATCGTGACCCATGAGTGGAGGAACTTTCAGTTCTAAAGCTGATAAAGTGCGTAGCCAGAAGAATACTTTTTTTTTTGTAACCACTGTCTTAATGGCAAAATAATTATGGTAAAAAACAAGTCTCGTGTTTATTATTCCTTAAAAACTCTGTGTTATATTACCATGGAACGCCTAATAAAGCAAGATGTGGTTGTTTCAGGGCTGTGTCTGTTTTGAGAAGTTCTGGAGGTGGCTGCTTGGCTCCGGCCTCCGACAAAATCTCCCTCTCCAGAAGCATTCAGGGAGCTTCGGTTTGGTGGCTGCACCCATTCGAGAATTTTTAACTCCATGTCACAGGTTGCTATGTCTAGGCCATAGGATGAGGTCCAATCCCAAGCCAAGCTGCAGCCTGCAGGTGCACGGCAAGCTGAGTGTCGAGAATCCATAGGCTCCATCCTGCAGAGGCCGTGCGAGCCTCCGGGGTCAGGCTGCAAACCTAAGTTTGAAACCGGGAATTGGGTGGGACCATATAGGTTAGTGTGGGTGACCCCTCTGGGCTCTCTGCTTCCTTCCGGAGTTATTTACCCTGGAAAATCCTCAAAGCATGGGTGTGTGAAAGGTGAGGCTGAGGGTCCATGCCTCTGTCAAGAAGCTTGCAGGAAACCGGGATACCAAGGCTTGGTCTTCCACATTCAACCAACCGTCAAGAATGCAGCCAGGGCAGGAGCCATGCCCCGCCCCAGCCCCAGCTGCGGATGCTTGGTTTCCACGGTTACCGTGTCAGCTGGCACTAGCCTGATTGGTTCTGAAGACAATGAGCGAAGAGGGTGTGTGCTTCGGGCGCCCCCAGGCCAGTGTTGAGCCTGACACGTCTTGTTCTCTTTTTCCATCCCTCTGTTCCTTCCCTCCCTTTTTGTTCTCTGCCTAGCCCCGTGTCTAACAGGATATGAGACGACTTACAAAAATACATACATGATACCCAGGTTTTATAAACAAAGTGTGTGGGCGAAGGGAAAATAAGAGTAGGAAAAGTAAAATAAGGCCCGAGGGGGTTAGTGCAAAACGGCTGCCATGAGGCTGGGGACTTGCTGGGAGCACGGAGTGTTCTAGCAACAAATACGCGTTACGGCATTCACAGTGTCAGAAGGTAAAAATAATTAGTCCTTCCGAGGCATCCTGATCTTCGGCCCTGAGGGCAGGTCCTGGGTCCCCCCAGTAACCGCAGTGTTGAGTGTCTAGGCAGCTCTTACCCCGCCCGCCAATGGCGGAGCACTGTGATCCGGTGAAATCGCATCTGTCCGGGAGAGGGGGGCAAAAGGTCTCCCCCTAATATTTGTGGGACCTGGGACAAGAGTTACAGTGGAGACCCCAGGCCCACAGCCTCATCCTCTTATTCCCTCCCTGGCGTCACCCCACACCGTGGTAGGCGTCCTGCCCACGCCTGTGGACACCCCAGCCCACGTGCCCAAGTTCTTCCCAATCCCCAGCCCACTGCTGCCCCAAGGAGTGTCCACAGCCGCTGTGAGGTCTGCCATCCAAAGGACACAGAGGCCCATGAAGGTACCAGCAGGGGACAGCAGGGACCCAGATGTAAAAGCTGGTCTGAAAGTGGCAGCCAGGGCTCTGTCTGGGGACATCTCACTGACCCTTAGTAACTCCTCACCCTCTAGTGACAGGCTTGCTGGAGGGGCCCAGAGAGCGGGTCTCTAGACGAGGACAGCTAGTGCCACGTGGCTAAACACTGGGGCCAGCTGTAGAACTCTTAGTTGGTGTAATTTACTCTGAAGACAAATTTTAGAGCATCTAGAAAAAGTAAGTGGAACACACATCCTTCCGGAAGCGGTTTCGTCTTGCACTGCTGTGAGTTGAAAGTTATATCCTCTGGGAAGTTTTTGTAGCGCACATTCTGTAAGCAAAGGCAGATCTAGGCCGGGCGCGGTGGCTCACGCCTGTAATCCTAGCTCTCTGGGAGGCCGAGGCGGATGGATTGTTTGAGCTCAGGAGTTCGAGATCAGCCTGAGCAAGAGCGAGATCCCGTCTCTACTAAAAATATAAAGAAATTAATTGGACAACTAAAAATATATAGAAAAAATTAGCCGGGCATGGTGGTGCATGCCTGTAGTCCCAGCTACTCGGGAGGCTGAGGCAGGAGGATCGCTTGAGCCCAGGAGTCTGAGGCTGCTGTGAGCTAGGCTGACGCCACGGCACTCACTCTAGCCCGGGCAAAAGAGTGAGACTCTGTCTCAAAAAAAAAAAAAAAAAAGTGAGACTCTGTCTCAAAAAAAAAAGAAAAAAAAAAAAAAAAGGCAGATCTATTCCTCCTCCCATCAACTGAGTCGGGACGAAGTCCTGAAGGTGCTGATGTGGGCAGAGTAGGGCACTACAAAGGAACCATAGGAAGCTGTTGGAAACAGTGTCCCGAATGTCTCTCCTTGCAAGGTAGAAATAGCGTAGAAGATGCAGACCGATGATTGCAAAGCTCTTTGGTGAACTGCAGAGAGCGTAGAACTGTGAGACATCAGAGAGGTTGTCAGTTACTCAACAGAACGATCTGCTGGTCGAAGTCACGGTGATAATAGCTAACATTTATTGTGATACACCAGGCACTGTTCCGAGGGCTTCACACCTGTTAACTCAGTTAACCTTTGCAGCAACCCGTGCAGAGGGTACCATCGTTTCCGTTGTACAGATGAGGAGACAGAAGTTCCGAGAGTTAAGTAACTTGCCATGACCCAGGCTTCGAATCCACGCAGTCTGGGGCTAGTGGGAACGTTTCTAAGTGCTGTTATTCCACCATCTCTCACGAGAAAGCCCCTGTTTAGAAGCGTGTGGGCAACAGAGAGGTGGAGAGCGCTGGCGAAGGGGACTGAGCCGGTAGTTATTAGGCCCAGGGAGGAAAAATGCGGGCGGATGAAAAAGAAAACAGTGGCATCAGGAAACCAATGCTAATTTGGAAATCTGTGGGCTCTGGTTAAGGAGAAACAAGACAGCCTACAAAGGACCCCAAAAGAGCCAGGAGAAAAACGGCCTGGAGGGGGACAGAAAGTGTGAAGGATAAACAAGAACACTTTGAGTGTGTTAAGTTTCACGGACAAGATTTGGGGAAACTGTGTTGGTTTGGTGACAAACTACAAATGTGTGTATACACGCCAATATGTATATAATTGATTTTTATAAGGATTTCGAAAGCGTCTGTAAAATAATGTCCGCGAAAATACTTCGGAGAGGGGCGAAGGGAGCTGGATGCGTAAACGCATCGTTGTTTTGTCACGATCTGGTGTCGTCGGGAGAGGGCTGGTGCAGAGCAGAAGACAACGGGCAGGCGGCAGCTTAGCAGGGGGGTCTCGCGAGGCTGCAAGGAGAGGGGCAGGACAGGCCTGAGGGGCCCGCGGGAGGAGCAGGGGGAGGGCTGGGGAACACCAAACACTGCGGCTTATAAAGCGTTGTGGTTGGAGTAATTTATTACGTTGAGATGATGCATGTGAGCTGACCCTCGTCCGCGCTAGAGTTACACACACTGTCCTCATCCTGAAAAACTTCTTCCCACCACACGGAACCATCCGGCCACACTGGCCTGGGTGCCGGGGCCGGGCTGGAGCTGAGAGAGGATGAGGGTGAAGGTCCCCTCCAGCCACGACCTTGCCCGAGACCAGCTGTTGGCAGCTTTATCTTGCGACTCTGGGGACCCCAGGGACTCCTCATGGAACCCAAGTGTGGACCCCGGGAGGGAGGGGGCCGGGAGGGGAGAACTGACCGTCCGCAGCCCACAGCTCGTTAGATCAGTCAGCGAAGACCAGAAGGACAGTGGACTCGGCACTGAGGCCCCCCGTTTCTGATGGTCACCTCCCTTGATGTTTCTATCACTCCAGAGGGTTCCCTCGGCTCCAGAAGAGGCCTCTGAGTGCTCGGGGTAAGCCTGTCCCCAGTGGAGGACGGGGGAGACCCGCTCTCTCCAAGTCACTCGTGGCGTCGAGCCCCCTCTGCTGCAGAAACGCATCGTTTACCTTTTATTACATATTTCAGCCCAGAATGCAGTGGAGAACAAGAGAAGGGCAAGCTGTCTGCTGGGAGGGGTCCTGATGTCCCGCCTCCGGGCAGGGACAGGCGCTCTCAGCTCCATCTTCCACTCCGCGACCAGCTTGCTCGTCCACGGCCCCCCGCCGCACCCACTTTCGACGTCCCGCACCTTTAGTCTCCCCTCCTCTCTGGTGTCTGCTCTTAGCCTCCCTGGCCTGTCCTCTACACCCCACCAGGACCCCATGGCAGACACTTTGGCTTTCCTGCTAGTCCCCTCAATTTCCTCCCACTGTGCCCGTGGAACAAGCCCCGCCACCGCAGTCTGGCAGCCCCCGCACCACCCTGTCTTGACCCAGAGCACCCCCTCCAAAGGACAGGCACAGCCCATCACGGCAAAGGACCTTCTGGCTGTCGTTTGACTGCTCCCAGGTGGTCCACCTGGATGGACCCAGGTGGTCCGTCAAATTTGGTCTCAGTCCAGAGGAGAAGGCAGACTTGGAAACAGATGATCGTGATCAGCCTTGCGACAGATGATAAACCTCAAGATTACACAAGCAGGAGGATGTAGCTAATCGGGGGAGACTAGAAAGGCTTCCCAAGGATTAACAAGTCTTTGTAAAACGGAATAAAGAAAAAAAGGAGGACGCCTGCTACGGCAGCACGGTGACGCACGGGCCCATCCCGTGTGTGTCTCAGGCCAGGTCCATCTCCAAGGGCATCGATCTGATCCTGGAACTCAAGCTTTTTATGTAAAGTGCGTGAGGACCAGCTGATTCTCACCCTGCCTTTCATTCCCTGATGACCTGACCGAGAGCCACTGCTGGTTTTTAGCGCCTCACGTGCAGATCTGATCCGGGGCTGCTTGTTGAAATGTTACCATGTTCACCAAGGGTTACTCCGTTGGAATTTTTATCGCACTTCCGCTCTCTCTTTCCCAGATCTCCGCTTCTCCACCACACCCCACCGCCACTCAGTTTCCGGCCGATGCCGAATGGGCACCCTGTCCTTCAAGGCTTTACTTGGAAAACCAGTCCTTTGCCCGGTTGCCTTTAATTGCTTAACTCCACTTTCATAAAGCGGTTCTGTCTGCCCACGCCCTTTTCTTCCTGGGTGACAGGAGGAGGACCTAATGCTGGTCTTGCTCGATGCAATCAATACCTGTCCAGCAGTTTGGAATGTAACCTGTGAAAAACGTGGGTTTGGC